CCTATGTTAAATTCTATCTCTGTAAGACCTTCTCAGTCAGGTCTGAAGAGATACCTTTCTCTGGAGGCTCTGCAGCAGCTACTGCCAATACAATTCACTTAGAATCTATTGTATACTGTCTAGTGAAATCTCTTCAGTATTATCTTGACTTGCTCTATCATTTAATTTTTCACATATTTGTCTTACTTTTCCTTTATTAAATTCATTGAGGACAAGGACTAGTTCAAACTTCATGTTATCCACAATATTTTATACATGATAGATATATAATCAATATTTATTGATTTGACTTAATATGAAGATTTCATATCTAAAGACGTTTCATTATCTATCATTCAAAGTTCTTTCCCTAAAACTTTCCTAAATACGCTCTAATGTTGCCTGAGTTTGATTCTCATATATTATCGATATCTGCTGAGAACCTACTATGTACAATGCATTTCCATAAATATATATTTTGTCCTTCCATTATATTGTAAGTACATTCAGGTTAGGTCTACGTCTTCTAGTTTGTATTCTGAGAGTACTCTGAGAGTACATCATAGAGTAGCTGTTCTATAAATTGAGAAAATGGTCAATTGAAATTTCAACTAAGGGATCAAGATATGGTTGCTGTCAGGTACCAAAGTGAATTATGAAATAAATAAAAACACAGGATGTTAAAGTAAATACAGATAACAGACTTCAGGTTTTTGAAAAGTTTATACTTTTTTTATTTTACTTATTTATTTATTTATTTATTTATTTTGAGACAGAGTCTTGCTCTGTTGCCCAGGCTGGAGTACAGTGGCACAATCTCAACTCACTGTAACCTCCACCTCCCGGATTCAAGCAATTCTCCTGCCTCAGCCTCCTGGGTAGCTGGGATGACAGGCCCACACCACCATGCCTGGCTAAGTTTTATATTTTTAGTAGAGATGGGGTTTTACCATATTGGTCAGGCTGGTCTCAAACTCCTGACCTTGTGATCCACCCGCCTCAGCCTCCAAAGTTCTGGGATTACAGGCGTGAGCCACTTTGCCTGGCCAAAAGGTTTATACTTGTGTCAGGGGTATGTGAAAATTCTTCAGAGGCAATTTGAAGGAGTGGATCTACAAGGAGATTTCATTGGAGAGGCTTGCTGCTGTATTGTGAGTTGAACCTTACCCCTCAAATTGAGGGCTAGATGCTACTTTCTAAACCAGAGTGACCATAGCTTCCAGGAGTGTTCCAGTGTCATCTAAAGTTGGTGGAAGGGAAGGAACAGGCAACTTAGGCTAGATTCTCCACCTGCCTAAGGAATCTAAAGATGAAAAAGTGTGATGACTCTTAACCCAAGGCGTCAGGAAAGAGAGAGAAAGAATTGTTGCTGTGCTGTGTTGGAAAGTAAATGCGCTCCCCTCCTACTGCAGGTTAAGTGGACATGAATCCTGTGGTTCAGATGGGGAACCCGTGGTAGGAGCATTAGTAGGTAGTTTGTGTAAGAAGAGTTCTTCTCAATAGGCCTCTGTTGGAAGGTGAAAGAACTCCACTAAAAGAGTTGATAAAGAAGGAAGCAGGAGTAAACAACAGTAAACCAATAGCAAAGGGGTTGGGGGAGGAGCAAATATGAGCCATCAGTAAAAGGAGAGGCAATGTCTGCCTGCCTTCACAGTACTCTAGAGTGAGTCTCAGCTGGAGGAACAGAGTGGGCTCCAAGGAACTCATAAGTGCCCCTTATAACAAATACCAACTTTAAACACCTCCCAGTCTCAGAAACCATGGAACCATATTGTATCAGTCAGGTGAATAATTTCTGTACCCCTTCCCCCGTTTTTTGCCACCAACTTCAGTCTTCTAGGGGACAGAACACATAAATCTGAGGGTGGAGACAATGGAAGAATAGTAAGAGGGAAGAAGGCTTCCGAATACTCCTTCAAGACAGCCTGAAGTTAGCCTAGCAGGCAAAGACGATTTTATTCTAAATTGTATTGAGACTTTTGATCATTATATGTGACTGGCCATTCTAATTGCTGTGGGTGTTTTTTTTTTAAGAGATCGTGACACTACTATCAAATAGTAAGCCAAAAAGTCCTAGGGTCTGCTGAAGACTTTTATCTAGAGGCAATGAAACCCTTCCCCAGTTAAATATGTTTCAAGATAGGGTGGGAGAAAAAATCATGTTTTGCTTTTGTTATGCTGTATAAGTTATTCAATAGTTTTACCCTCAAATACTTGTTATTACTTTTTTTGTTCTTAAAATGCTTTGAAAATCAAGTTTAAGTAAAATATCTTCTGGTACAAAAGTTTCAACTTTTCATATTCAGTTATATTAAACTTATATTGGAACACCCCTTTAGAATATACTGTAGTTTACCTATAATTCCTATGTCAGTTTTCTGTGCTTCCCAGGATGACTATATAACAAATAGATTAGTTCCATTCAGTTCTATTCTTTCTGTTCATCAAACATTTAATAATTCATACCGTCAGCACTGTACAGGTGCTGTGGGTAGCTCTAAGTAAGATTATAACATGTCCACTGTTTTCACAGAGCTTGAAATATTTTTGAATTGACTAAGCTTGTATGAAAGTAATCCTAGTACAGTAAAATATAAGTACAATAGAGTCCAATCAAGTGCCTAGATATGTAGATCATAAATGGCAGTAGATCATCAAAGATTAACATTGCATACATTTATCTAAAAGTTTACACAAAGAAAGCACTTTGGTTTTGGATCAGATTGAATGCATTATAAAAATATTTAATCACTTTAGGAAGGTCATAATGAATTCATTCATTCCAAAATTAATTACTAAATAGCTAATACAAGCCAGGCACTATGCTATGTTTTAGACATACATCGGTGAATAAAACAGACATTTTCCTTCCTTCAAGGAAAGCACAATTTGATGAGATTCTAAACTAATATGCTGTCCAAGTAAATCTCTCATATAAAATTATGCAATTTACAGGGCATTACACATGCCCACACTTTCTAAATAGTCTATCTCAATGACTACGGTAATATTTGAATTTTGTCATTAGAGGATAATTCTTTCTTACTACTTTTTAGTAATGGCCAACACTTACTGAGAACTTGTTATATACCAGACAATGTTATGAATATTTATGTGTCTTAGCTTGTTTAATCTTTAAAAGAGCCTTGTGATGTAAATGCTATTATTAATCCCATTCATAGATGAGGAAGCTGAAATACAGAAAGTGTGTGTAACCTGCTCATGATCAAGCAGTATAGCTGGGGTTCTGATCCAACATTATCAATATAGGAATCTTTGGATTAAATTTTTAAAAACACGCATTTGGGCATAGAGTTAAATGGGAAAATAAGACATGCATATTAATAACAAAAAATAAATGAGAATACACTAAATTATTAATTAAAAAACAGTGTGTACGATTGGATTTTTTTTTTTTTTTTTTTTTTGAGACAAGAGTCTTGCTTTGTTGCCCAGGCTGGAGAGCAGTGGCGTGATCTTGGCTCACTGCAATCTTCACCTCCCGAGTTCAAGATTGTCCTGCCTCAGCCTTCAGAGTAGCTGGGATTACAGGCATGCGCCACCATGCTTGGCAAATTTTTGCATTTTTAGTAAAGATAGGATTTCATCGTGTTGGCCAGGCTGATCTGAAACTCCTGGCCTCAAGCAATCCACCTGACTAGGCCTCCTGGGATTACAGGTGTGAGCTACCAAGCATGGCCAGGTTGGATTTTTAAAACTCACCTAATTTAGGCCAGGTGTGGTGGCTCGCGCCTGTAATCCCAGCACTTTGGGAGGCCGAGGCGAGTGGATCACGAGATCAGGAGATCGAGACCATCCTGGCTAATGTGGTGAAACCCCATCTCTACAAAAAAAAAAAAAAAAAAAAAAAAATTAGCCAGGCGTGGTGGCAGGCACCTGTAGTCCCAGCTACTCGGGAGGCTGAGGCAGGAGAATGGTATGAACCTGGGAGGCAGAGCTTGCAGTGAGCCAAGATTGCACTACTGCACTCCAGCCTGGGCAACAGAGCGAGACTCCATCTCAAAAAGAAAACCAGTTAATTTAGGGTCTGATGGTAAAAGTGCTTTGGAATTTAGACTTCGCTCTTTCTACACCTCAATTTATTCAGTGAAAGAGAACTAAAAATATCTGCTTTGAAAACCTCAGAAAATTGTAGTGAGCACAAATATAATAATTTGAATGAAGATGTTGGGGAAACCATAAAGTCCTATGCATATGTCAATTTTTATTGTTACTCTTTGTTCATCTGAATCTCCCTGGAAAAGCAACAGCCATCCCCTTTAAAAGGTGTTATACTTCTTCGTGTTACTTTTTTTAAAATGAATTCTAATAGTTTCCTAATTAGATATCTTTTTTGACTTGGAATCAGAAAACAAAAATAGAAAGTGAAGTTAAAATAATAAACAGGAAAGGAGCTTGTTATGGTGTAGACATCATGATTTACACTAGCATTGTAGGGAAGGAGGAAATGGGGACTTCCATTCACCTTAGAAGCCCTTCATGGTGAGAGTTGTTTGGACTATTTATATTTCTGGCAAACTTTTAGGAATTATGGGGAAATATAAACAAGATATAAGGCAAAATCACTGTTTCCAAGTAGAATAGAGTGAAATCTACAGCCAAGGACAGAATATACAATGTCTGAGAAAAGTTCCGAAATAAATAAATTGTATCTTACATCAGTGCCAAGAGCGATCTTTTTTCTCTTTTTGGTTTGTATGATATTCAGTGCTGCATGTATATCTGACAATGATAGTTGGAATCAATCACAGTGTTTGGCAAATTATCTATTCCTAGAGGAAGAATACAAAGCCTGCCAAGACTGCATCTTTTTTCTTCACGACACATGTGGAATATAGAATTGATTTTACTTTCCCTTAATAAGTGTTTACATTTTACTCCATTGCAGTTCTAAATCTGAGCTATCCATGCACTTCTGCAAGATTATACATGCAAATTATGTGAAACTTCTATTTTTGATTGAATATATCTAATTTTAACCCTTTTTTATTATTTAACAGGAATCCACTGTGAAGAAGACGTCAATGAATGTTCTTCAAACCCTTGCCAAAATGGTGGTACTTGTGAGAACTTGCCTGGGAATTATACTTGCCATTGCCCATTTGATAACCTTTCCAGAACTTTTTATGGAGGAAGGGACTGTTCTGATATTCTCCTGGGCTGTACCCATCAGCAATGCCTAAATAATGGAATATGCATCCCTCACTTCCAAGATGGCCAGCATGGATTCAGCTGCCTGTGTCCATCTGGCTACACCGGGTCCCTGTGTGAAATCGCAACCACACTTTCATTTGAGGGTGATGGTTTCCTGTGGGTCAAAACTGGCTCAGTGACAACCAAGGGCTCAGTTTGTAACATAGCCCTCAGGTTTCAGACTGTTCAGCCAATGGCTCTTCTACTTTTCCAAGGCAACAGGGATGTGTTTGTGAAGCTGGAGTTGCTAAGTGGCTACATACACTTATCAATTCAGGTCAATAATCAGCCAAAGGTTCTTCTGTACATTTCCCACAACACCAGCGATGGAGAGTGGCATTTCGTGGAGGTAATATTTGCAGAGGCTGTGACCCTTACCTTAATCGACGACTCCTGTAAGGAGAAATGCATCTCGAAAGCTCCTTCTCCACTTGAAAGTGATCAATCAATATGTGCTTTTCAGAACTCCTTTTTGGGTGGTTTACCAGTGGGGACAGCCAGCGATGGTGTCGCTCTACTTAACTTCTATAATATACCATCCACACCTTCGTTTGTAGGCTGTCTCCAAGACATTAAAATTGATTGGAATCACATTACCCTGGAGAACATCTCATCTGTCTCATCATTAAATGTCAAGGCAGGCTGTGTGAGAAAGGATTGGTGTGAAAGCCAACCTTGTCAAAGCAGAGGACGCTGCATCAACTTGTGGCTGAGTTACCAGTGTGACTGCCACAGGCCCTATAAAGGCCCCAACTGTCTGAGAGGTGAGAGAAAGCTGACTGCTATGGCTGGGAGTGCCATGCCTCAGAGCAGAGCAGAAACAGCAAAAACAGCCTCACTGCTTCTGCCTGCTATGAAACATAATGACCCCACAGGACTTCTGCTGCTGGTTGCCCACTGATGAGAAAGAAAAGAAGAGGGCAGTGATGTGCATTAATTAATTTTGAGTGGATTCACAGAACATAAGTTTCACTCATACAGAGAAGTAAAAAAAAATAAGCAGATAGCTCCTTTCCAAAGAGGTTTTCATCTTTGTGTTTGCAAAATGCTCTTGCAATTTTACCATTGGTTGCATATCAGAAATGTATGTAAATCTTATTTGAAAGAGAAATAATTCTTTTGAAAAAAGGACCCTTAGACATAAAATTTGTCAGTGCCACATACTAACATGATACCTTGTGCATAGCAAATTCTCGGTAAATACTCATTTCCTTGCTCTCCTTTCTATACAATTCACACTTGCTCCAAAATCATAATTAAGCATAGCGTTTTTATAAAACACCAACTTTATTCAAAGGTATCTTTTCCAAGGCTGCCCTGGAGAAGACAGATAATATATTAGATGTCTTAAGAAAAAAAAAGAAAAGAAAATGTGGAAAGTAACAATAGTAGAGCTTGGTAGATGCCATAAACTAATTGATCAAATTTCTCTAGTAAACCACAGTTTGAAAAGTATTTCAAAATCCTTAACTTCCAACATTGTTCTAGAGATTGCTGTTGATAGTGATCAATACGTACCTGTTTCTTTTTATTATTATTATCATACATTGAAAAAGTCTGAGATGTAATTGTAACAGACTGCTTTGAAGTTCAGCTGTAATTTACCCCAAGATTTTAGAGTAACTTGAAGTAGGACAACATCTGGTAAGTAGTCTTCTCTGCTTTATATGAAGTAAAATTAAAACCAGTCTTAGCCTATACTCTATTCCATGTTCAAATGTCTAAGAATTATTAGAAACTACTCAAGGGTTTCCCCCTGACCACAATATTCATTACAAATCATGGACCTGTTTGACAATGAAGTATGGCATCTACTAGCTATACGTAATATTTTAAGTAGAATGGCAAGTTGTTTTGTGATTTTTTTAAGGAGAAAAAGGGAAATTATGCTGAGGCAATGTTCACTTTTTGAAGAAAAATTTAATTGACCTAAGGCAATATTTTTACTACATATACAAAATAACAAACAGATGCTGACTCATTTTGACTGGCTTCCAGATGCAGTGACCCATAAGGTTAATACTGACCATGGTGATGTTAACTGTCCTAGTAAATAGATTCAAGAGATGCCAGTCCAGTGGGTTCTGGTTTTCTTTATTTTATCCAACTTGGAAAACCATGAACTTTTCAAACCAAGTTCCTGAATTGGTTACCCTTCCCCCACTTCTCCCAGTTTCCTTATACTCCAACATTATTTGAAATTGTTTAACCCTCATGAAAATGTTTGACTTCAAAAGATCACTTTACAGAGAGAGAGTTCTGTAAAATCTTTTCTTTCTGAAAATTCTTGGTATAAATTTAAGGAAAATTATATTTTTCATATCACCTCTTCATTAGAAAATTAAACTATTCTGTATTTTCTGTTATCTAGAAGGAATGTTTCCTGGAGAGTTTACTCCCACTACAAACAATGCTTTTAAGCAGTAATGAGAACACGGAGTCTTTCTGCTACTGTACATGTATATTCAAGAGGAAGGAGACATACTAAAAAGCACAAAGGCAAACTTCAGCCCATTCATGACTTGCACTCGTATTTAGCTCAATGTTTTCCAACCATGGTACACGCTGTAATGAACAAGGAGATTGGATAGAAGATTATGGTGGCTGACTAAACACAAAAGACATAGTGATTTCCAATATCTCAAGGTTGATCTTTTTAAAATAATTTAATTTATCAACAGAAAGAGTACTGAAAATGATTTAACTAAGCTTAGTTTACAGAAGTGTCCATAAGGTTCTCTCAGCATATCTTGTGTTGACTGTTTGTAAGAGCATGGAGCATTCAAGATATTACTACTTAGAAAAAATGACACCACCTACCTTTTGTTCTCTGGTGAATATTTGACTTACAACAGCAATTTACATGTCTCTTTTCTTCAGCCATATACCTAGATTTTGAGAATTTTATTCTCTTAGAATTATAGTTTCCTAGATATAGAAGAGGCTTCATTCTATGACGGAATTTTTAACACTATTGTACCTGCCAAATGTAGTGGCTCAAATCTCTGCTTAAACACCTTCAGGAATAGAGAGATCTCTCACTCCGTCTTGCCAAAAATTGCCCAAAAGTTATTTCCTTATATTGAAATAAAATATGATTTGCCTGTAGCTTTCCTTCATTGACCATGTTGCAATTCTGGAAGACATGCAAATGAAAATCTCAACTTGCCTGCTACTTGAGAATACTTAATATCTGAAGAAAAGTATCTTCGGCCATCTAAGCCATCACTTCTATTCGGGCTAAACTTCCTGTTTCTTCTAATGTTTGCCATATGACATAGTTTTCCACACTTTATCAGCTGCTTGCAGGTTTTGGAATATATTTGCTTCTTTGTATTCCTTCTAAGATGTGATGTCTGTATGTCCTTGATGATACAGTGACACAGGGCCACAACCTCCCTTATTCTAGAAAATGTGCTTATGTTTTTCAGCTTAATACAACATTGACTTTTTGGCAGCCACACTTCGTGATTGCATCACTTTGTATCATTGTCACTTATGATGCCACATAGTCCTGTTTCTCCTACTCTAAACTTATAAGGCACATTTAGATCAAAGTGGCTCTTATTTATTCTTGTTAAATTTCATCTTGTTATATTTCATCAATCATTAAAGCTTGTCAAAATTGTTTTTCATCTGTATATGTTGTCCCTCTTCATAACATGTCAACCACTTGTATGAGAATCACCCTTCCAAATCTACAGCCAAGTCATACACGTCTTCAGGTGTTTCTAAAATCATGTAGCAAATCGCACATGCTGACTAGTTGCTTGTGATTTCTGAGGAATAGGATTGCTGAAGAGTCAGGCTTCTGAGAAAAAAAAATAGTCTGCATTTTGGCTTTTAATCCGGATCCACAAAGTGATGCTGAAGGCATCCTGGGATGACCAGCAGGCACCCCGCTACCCCTGAGGTTGAGTGATTCTGGGCATATCTTCAAACCTCAGGGGCTTCAAGGGCCAAATTTTCTTATTAAGCATTTTATCTCATATGAAAGTGCTGCAGTGTATTCAGAGATGTTAACCTCTTCAAAGGGGTTATTTTATCTAACAGTACACTTTTGAAAGCTACCGGTAGTTGCCTGGAGCAGGTGGTCTCCAAATGCAGATTCAAAATGCAATGTTCCTGTATGAAATCAAGTCAGAGTTCTGAAAATATAGCCTTTTATGCAGAAGATCTTCAAACACAGATGATTGTCTAAGCAAGTTTTACTATAGTTCAGCTAAACTAAAATGTGTCTTACCTTTGCCCAAACTTCAACTGGGCCATATGACGACATTTAGACATGCTGAAATATGCTCTTTTTGTCTGGTTAGTATTGGGATATAAAATCTTGAGGACAGCAATATCTTGAATACAGTACTTTTGTCATGTTATCAATGCTTTCTAGATTGCAAAATCAATAGTCAATTTTCAGTCCCCATCTTACTTAATTTCTCAATACCAGTTAACACAATTAAACACTCCCTCCTCCTGAAAACCTATTTTCTCACTAGGCTTATGGGCCACCACTCTGCCTTGGTTCTTCTCTTATCTTACTGGCTACTCCTGCATCATTTCCTTTACCTCCACTTTTTTAATGCCCAAGGGCTTACTTCTTGGACCTCTTGTTTTCTCTCTATATACCCACTCTCTTGGTGATCTCATGCAGTCTTGTGGCTCTAAATATCTAATATGGTTTGGATGTTTGACCCCTCCAAATCTCATGTTGAAAAGTCATTCCCAATTGGGGCCAATGGGAGGTGATATATACCAACAAATCCCACATGATCAGAACATCCTGCCTGAACCTCTATATCAACTGCCCATTAGTCACTTCCGCTTGGAAATCCAAAACGGCATCTCAAATTTAATATGGACTCCCACCTCACCCAAAAAATCTGTTCCTCCAATTTTCTTCCCTATCTCTGCAAATGGAATCTCCATGCTTCCAGTTGCTTAGGCCAAAAACCTTAGAGATGGCTCCAGAAAATTCTGTTGTGTCTACCTTCAAAATATTTTGAAAATCTGACCACTTTTCACCACTTTCACATTACCACTGATCCAAGCCATCATCATTTCTCTCTTGAGTTACTACAATAATGTAGTATAACGTTGGGCTTTTGCTCAAATATCACTTTCTCAGAGAGTTCCTCCCTGATTGTTCTATTTAAAATTACAATTCCATCCCTCCAAATCTCCCTATTCCCTTTCTCTACCTGACATTTTGTACTAAAGGATTTCTCACCATCTGACATATTATATAGTTTGCTTCCTTATCTATATCTGTCTTTCCTCCAACTAGAATTTAAGCTTTGTGAGGATGGGAAGTTTTCTTCCTACCATATCACCCACATTTTACAATGTCAGTTTTTATTTTTATATATCTCAAGAGTTTTCTTGAGGCGATGCACATCAATAGCATTGCCACATATGAGCATCAGTAACACCTCTGACCGCAGGAAATGCTGGATGGGTTTCATACTCAGCTTTGCCCCTACTTCTCTGTTTCCTGTGCCTCTCCTACTCCCAACCAGGACTACAGAAGAAAGGGTCCTTCTTTTTCCTTGCTCAACTGCCCTGCCTCTTATGTGAGATGTCATCCCAAGAGAAGATTTAATCATCTAATTCTTGGTTTCTGTTGTCCCAATTTATGTTATTTACAGATTAAAAACCTGAAGTTTAGAAAGGTTATGTAACTAGCCTAAATCACATGTTAATAGCAGTCCTGGGACAAATACAGTCCAGGCTCTAATAAATTTCTTTACAAAGAATAATTAGGTTTAATGACATGTTTGCTTCAGCATGCCTCTAAGTAGCAAGGATTATGACTGCCTGCACAGTCTGCTTGCAGAGGTTGCATGAATTCCTCTTGTCTGAAAATTTCTTCCACCAAGTTGGAGTACAGTGGTGTCTGATATACCACCACTAAGGCCCATATTTTAGGGCAGCGAAGGGAAGATTCTTTAGTTTATCAGTGCAGAGATCTTTTTGGTTTGTTTTGTGATCAATGGGCCTCAAGTGTAAACTACAAACCAAAATATAGTTATTTTAGGGATAAAGTATACTCAGAAGTCCAGAAAGAGGCCAAATCATTATTCTATTGAGTAAGCCTGTCCTGAACTTTAAAAGTTGTGTATGAGTGTGTATGTGTGTGTGCATGTGTGTGTGTTTGTGAAATGTATAATTCTCATCTTCCATCCCTTCTGTCTTTCGAGCCTTAAGATGTTTCTTTTTCTTTTTTTCTCCTCCTCTATTTTGAAGAGTTTGTGGCAGGCAGATTTGGCCAGGATGACTCCACTGGATATGTTGTCTTTACTCTTGATGAGAGCTATGGAGACACCGTCAGCCTCTCCATGTTTGTCCGAACACTTCAACCATCGGGCTTACTTCTAGCTTTGGAAAACAGCACTTATCAATATATCCGTGTCTGGCTAGAGCACGGCAGACTAGCAATGCTGACTCCAAACTCTCCCAAATTAGTAGTAAAATTTGTTCTTAATGATGGAAATGTCCACTTGATATCTTTGAAAATCAAGCCAAATAAAATTGAACTGTATCAATCTTCACAAAACCTAGGATTTATTTCTGCTTCTACATGGAAAATCCAAAAGGGAGATGTCATCTACATTGGTGGCCTACCTGACAAACAGGAGACTGAACTTAATGGTGGATTCTTCAAAGGCTGTATCCAAGATGTAAGACTAAACAACCAAAATCTGGAATTCTTTCCAAATTCAACAAGCGATGCATCTCTCAATCCAGTTCTTGTCAATGTAACCCAAGGCTGTCCTGGAGACAACAGCTGCAAGGTAATGATTACTCATACAAACTAGGTATATAATATATATTAAATTTTTATTTTATTAAGAAGATAACTTAATAAAACCCTTCTTTCTGTATAAAGATGATGTTACTGACCCACCACCATAGAATGATATTTCATCTACATTTTTCCAACAAGACTGTGAAATTTACATTGAGGCACAGAAATGTGGCCTTGATCTTATTGGCATCATGATCCATTTAATTAACCAAAATAACTTCAGCTATAGACTTCTCTCACCCTCACAAAATCAAATTACTTAAGTATAATAATATTTCAATTCCTAAACTCCTAATGGCTCCCCAGAGGTTTAACTGAATTAACTCTTTTTGGATGATATTGTTAACTCTATTTTAAATGCCCAGCTACTATTGCTTTGAACTTTTATTAAGGCAGCAACAACAAGAGAAATCTGAGAGGTAATTTCCTTCTGGTAGTTGAAATCCTCTGAAATATAATTTCTCAAAGCCCATGCTTTACTTTAAATATTCTATGTACTCTTCTAAGAGCTGCTTAAATACAAGAACTTGTCAGCTCTGCATGACCTTTCAAAGGGAAAAAGGGAAATGCATTTCTATGTGTTGAACATTTGTTGAGCTCCAACTATGGCCCTACACTAAGCTTGTTTCTAAATATACACAAATCAATTATCGTAACATTGTTATGGAACATTTTCAATGAACTAGGCAGTATTTTACATGGCTTAATCTATTTAGTTCTATTGAAGGACTACAGTGGAAAGCAGGAATTGTTGTTGTCCCAATTTATGTTATTTACAGATAAAGTAACTGAAGTTTAGAAAGGTTATATAATTAACCTAAATCATATGTTAATAGTAGACCTGGGACAAACACAGTCCATGCGCTAATAAATTTCTTTTTAAATACTTTCATTTTGAATTCTTTTTGTGAGCAAGCTTGTGAAAACTCAAATAATAATACTATGTCTGTGATTCAGAGGCAGATCAGTGTGGGAAGGGCAATCATTGAGTTGGGATCCAGAGGACCTAGGTACCAAGTTTCACTGTTTTGCTTCTATATAGGATCTTGGGCAACTGGAAACACCTTCTTTTTATCATCTGTAAAACCAGGAGTAAGAATCCTTCCTCAAATGATAATTAGTGCATGTGAAAAGTGTCTGGTAATTTGTAAATTACAGAGGATGCTGCTATACTTGAAAAAATCCTCCTTGTGCTATAGATCAATTTTATATCTTTTTTCTCTCTCGGCCACCACTCTGCTCTTTTAGAAAGCAGTTGGTAATGGCAGTAGTCATTTTCATTCTATTTAGTTAACAATGGATATTAAAAGTTTAAAATGTAGAAATGCAGGGAAATTAGCATTTTAAAAATAACAGGTATGTGGTCTCACCTTCAACATTTTTCTATTTATTTGCCAGTGCTTTTTATATCTTTGATTTCTTTTCCGCTCAGTCCAACCCCTGTCGCAATGGAGGTGTTTGCCATTCCCTGTGGGATGACTTCTCCTGTTCCTGTCCTGCCCACATAAGTGGGAAAACCTGTGAGGAGATTCAGTGGTGTGGATTCAGCCCGTGTCCTCACGAAGCCCAGTGCCAGCCGGTGCTTCAAGGATTTGAATGTAGGTAGAGTTCACCATTAAATTGGGACATTTGAGTTGTTCCAAGAGCAAACACAGAAAAAGAGTATAGACAAAGCCAGCTTATTAAATTAATCTATGGTTGTTTCCCCTATGTGAGTAGGCTAATAAACCTGACTGGCCTCTTGCCTCATCCTGCCTTTGGTGGGTGTCTGGATAGGAAATGGAGGTCACAGCAACACTAAACCTAGATGCTTAATCATTTAAAGCTGATTTCCTAAGGAAGAATTAGCAAGGTAATATTTGACTTTCCTTCCCTCATTACTGGGAACACAGAATAAATATGTGTGTGTTACACATTGTCATTTATTAACTATGAGGCCTCAGGCAATTCATATGATCTCCATCATCTAAAGCTTCCTCACCTGTGAAATAGAGAGAACAATTTCTGCTTTTTCAGTTTCTTTGTGATGATTCTGTGACCTTATGTGTAAATAAACATGTTAGGCACTCAATGTTTGCTATGAGACTTTCCCTCATTGTGAAAGGTTTTCCTGTCCATCTTCTGCATTACAAAACACACTTTTCCAAATGTTAGCAATTTGAATACTATACAGTATTCACAATTTTGACACATCCACCCACTAACTATACTGTTATTTATATTCTGTCTTCTCACCTACTTCAAATAATGCACAGTCCAGTCTATAGCCAACCCTGTATGTTTGCACTGAATTCTAATTTCCTCCCCTTATTCAAAGAGTGTGCTCCTAAAATTTTCTCTCACACACCAGTATCAATTTTTCCATCACTACAAAAAATTTCCTTTGACACTCCCTCACTCCTATTCCTACCAGCTACCATTCCATTTCTCTGCCTTAAAGAATAGGGAGAAGAAAAACCCTCTAATGTGTTGTCTGCAATATGCTTCCAACATTATCACTCCATTCTCTCTTTTACACCATACAGTCAGGCCCACACACCACCACCTCCCTCCTGAACTCTGTTAACCCAGAGATTCACAGGTCGCCTTTGTCACTTCATTTAGGTTTCTATACAAACATCCTCCAACTTGGCTTTGTTTTTATTCATATCTCTTGTTGTTCCTTGATATTTTGTTACATGTGCATTGATATATTTGTCTATGATCTCTTTCATCATGAGAATATAAGCTTCACAAGGCAAGAAAATTTTCTATGTGGTTTCTTGCTAGTAAATATTTGTTAAATAAATTGATATTATTTTCTTCAAATGTACTTAATATTTTCACTTAACTACTGTGGACAGTAAGTACATTATCTGCTTACTATAAAAAAAATACATGCAGGATGCTGGATGCACACCTATAATCCCAGCACTTTAGGAGGCAGAAGTGGGAGGATTGCTTGAGCCCAAGAATTTGAGTCTGCAGTAAGCCAGGATCACACCACTGCACTCCAGCCTGGGCAACAAAATAAGACCCTGTCTCAAAAAATAATAATAATAAAAATAAAAATACTGCACTAATATAATGGAATGGAACTAGAGGATAGTTTGGCTTAAGGTCAGTAGCAATGACATACTACCTAGACTAGGCCCCCAAGTAACTGAGAAAAAGAGAAAAATGTATTTACTTTTATGTTTCTATACTTCAAAATCATATTATTTAAAAGACCTGTATGATACATTACACTGTATGTACACTTGGGGAAGTTTTCTAGAAAAATATGTATACTTTTATGTTTCATATTTAAGAAATATGTACTACACATGTAGAGAAAACATGATGACTTGGCATAAAGAATGTAAATTGGTTTTTAATGAGGCACAACATTTTAAATGATACTTTTTCATTATTCTACTTCTATTATTCTAAAATAATTTCTTAATTATTAGTTTTACTGTTGATCTTTTGATAGAAATACTAAAGTTGTGAGTCTCAGCTGTGTTCTACCTGGTGTCCGAATCGTTTTGAATATTTTCACAGGAAAAAGGAATAGGATTTCTAAAAACAGTAGCAGCCCCAAAACAATAGCCCTGATGCACACTGCTCTGCCATCTACACATCAAGCAGTTTAGGAGCTGGACAAACATGTCAGAAAGAAGTGAAGTGAACCTTTACGGCTACAACATTGCCGATAGCAAAACAGTAGTAAGTCCAGCTCAGACACACCCAAAAAGTCCCAGTAGCATTTTTAAAGTATAGCTTAACTTAGTGAAGAGAGAAAACATAAATAAATAGGAGGTGTACAATAGGAATTATAAATCAATTTTCTAATTGATAGCTATTAACCCAGAATTCACTTTTACTACTCTATATAATTTTAATTTTATGTGATCTTATGACCCTATTATATTTTCTTTCCAGGGAAAATATATTGAAAAGATTAAGTCTAATGGAACAAGATACTCTTGAGAGTACAGCTGATACATTACCCTGAGTTTGCCTTTAGGACTTTAATCATCTCTAGCTCTGTATCGTACCAAGATTTAAACATTTACAACTCACCTTAATTACAGGTGTGTTTATTATGGCAAAGTTCCCCAAAGAAAAGGCGAAGTGCAAAAGTGGTTATGTATATCGTGGTTTTTACCCAGATCAGAAGACATGATTTCAATGTGCTCAGCAGAGTTAATAAATATATTTATATAGCATTATAGACCATAGTCTTCATTTCAGAGTTGGAGAATTAATGAGATTTTTTCATTTTAACATTTACTTAAAAACATGTAACGAAACACTTGTTGCTCTTTTTTCCCCTAAATTCCCAAATCCAAAGCTGATTGAACACACACACACACACACACACAGAGTAAAAAACAGTAAGATCAAGGTCATTGACTTATTTAATTAAGTCAAATAATACACTTGAATGATACACTGAAATTTTCTCCTGCTGTGGTTTCTAATCATTATCTCACTTTTCAGGATACAGTATGGAGTTATTTTCATAGAGTATTCATTTAATTATGTTTACTGAGCACCTACTATACATCAGGGACACACAGGCATAGGCATAGAGATTTAGTGATAACCTAGGCAGAGAACATCCTTGGTTTCATAAAGCTTACGTCCTAGTGCAGAAAGACAGTCAAGGAACAAGTCAACAAATAAACATAATTTTAAGTGGTAATGGGAGCTATGAAGAAAATTAAGCATAGACAGTGAATACAGGGAGGCAGTTTTTTTAACTCGGATAGTCAGGGAAAGCTTCTCAGAGGAGGCGACATTTGAGGAGATATTAACACTCAGAAGAGCCAAGTATAAGATGATCTGGGGAAACAGTATTCCAGATATAAGTAACAGCAAGCGTAGAAGGCCTGCGTTGGGAACAAGCTTGGTGTATCTTCAATGAATGGCGAAAAACTGTGGCTGTGGCATGTTAATGAGAAAGAGAGTGGTAGGAATTGGAATTGGAGAGTTAATCAGAGGTCAGATCATGTAGATGCTTTTTTTTTTAACATGACAGAGTTTTGTCATGAAATTTTTTTCTTTAAAAGAGAGACAGGGTCTTATTATATTGTCCAGGATGGTCTCAAACTGCTGACTTCAAGCTATCTACCCTTCTCAGCCTCCCAGATAGCTGAGATTACACCCACAACTGGCTCAGATCATGTACACTCTTGTGGTTATGTTTAGGATTTCTTTTTAGATGTGATGCTAACTAATGGAGTTTGACTAAGGAGTGGTTGTTATATTGATCTGTAGAGCAGCAGAAGCAGGGACACTAAGAAGTAATTAGTCTTAATGAAAGATGATGGTGGTTGGGTGTAACGCCTGATAATGTAATCATAGTGTTTTCAGGTCATTTGCTATTGAAAAGTTTGACACAATAAGAATAGATAATTGGCCACTGCATTGAGTAGCGTGGAGGTCATTCATTGTAACCATGAAAGTGGTTTTAGTGAAGTGACTGGGACAAAAGCTTGAGTGGCATATATAAAAGAGAAAATGAGGAATGATAAAATGAGACAATGGGGATATAAAACTATTAGAAGTTTTGCTGGTAAAGAAAATCGACAAAAAAGCAGCAGGATTGGGGGAGGTCAGGGTACTGTTTTGCGTGTATTTTTACTTTTTAAGATTAAAGCAATTGCACATATTTGTATATCGATGGGAAACAGCAAAATGGAAGGGGAAATGATGAAGAAGGAAAGAAAAAGATTGCATAGAGAAATAATATGTTTAAAAGGTGTAAATCAGTAGGACCCAGGGCATAACTGGTAGAGTTGACATTGGTGGGAATACAGACAGTTCATCTATTACAGCAGGATAGAATAGTGTGGATCCAAATAATATTGGGTTTACAGATTTGATGGATATCTGAGGTAGCTCTGTTTTCTCAAGAAAATATTATGTGAGATCATAAGCTGAGATAGAATTCGATATTTTAAGAGAGAGAACAAGTTGCTCGCTAATCGTCTTGCAGTATGGGGAAAAAGTTTGTAATAGAGAAATGCAATAGGATTGCCCAAAGTGCTGTGCTCACATATAGTGGGAGAGCAATTGATATGGTTGTATATGAAAGTACTTGGGTGTAGATACAGAATTTGCAGCTTGTTAAATAACTGGAGTTTTACTAGGTAAGTAAATCAGTCATTTGAAATGCGACTTTTAACTGCCTACTCTTCAGCTTAATCAGAAGCCAGACTCCACGGTTAATTTTCTGTGTCACCAAGCTAGATTTGCGATTTCTTTTGGCTCAATTTATTTATGTGTAAAATGAATAATCAATGCTTTATTTGTGGGAGCAAATGCAAAATAAAAATTGGCATGCGTTAGGATTTCACCGGAAATGTATAGTTTTGGTTTTGCTACCAAACCATCCAGGTTTGACATTCTGGCTTTCTTATTTATTAATTACATGACCATGAACAAAATTACTTAAATTCTGTGACTCTCAACTTCTTCTTCCATAAAATGGGGTTAATAATAATACCTGTATTCAAAAGTTTGATATTAGGAATAATATAAAAGCAACTAGCACAGTATGTAACATGTATCAGATAGTCAATGTGCAATGTTATTAACACGATGATCATTACTATTAATAAAGGTAATGAAGCAAATTATAGATTTAATAAAGTTGCTGATTATTATCATCTTGTCTCATTAGGTATTGCAAATGCTGTTTTTAATGGACAAAGCAGTCAAATATTGTTCAGAAGCAATGGGAATATTACCAGAGAACTCACCAATATCACATTCGGTTTCAGAACAAGGGATGCAAATGTAATAATATTGCATGCAGAAAAAGAGCCTGAATTTCTTAATATTAGCATTCAAGATTCCAGATTATTCTTTCAATTGCAAAGTGGCAACAGCTTTTATATGCTAAGTCTGACAAGTTTGCAGTCAGTGAATGATGGCATGTGGCATGAAGTGACTCTTTCCATGACAGACCCAATGTCCCAGACCTCCAGGTGGCAAATGGAAGTGGACAACCAAACACCATTTGTGACCAGCACAATTGCTACTGGAAGCCTCAACTTTTTGAAGGATAATACAGATATTTATGTGGGTGATGGAGCTATTGACAATATAAAGGGCCTGCAAGGGTGTCTAAGTACAATAGAAATCGGAGGCATTTATCTCTCTTACTTTGAAAATGTTCATGGTTTCACTAATAAACCTCAGGAAGAGCAGTTTCTCAAAATCTCTACCAATTCAGTGGTCACTGGGTGTTTGCAATTAAGTGTTTGCAACTCCAACCCCTGCTTGCATGGAGGAAACTGTGAAGACATCTATAGCTCTTATCATTGCTCCTGTCCCTTGGGATGGTCAGGGAAACACTGTGAACTCAACACTGATGAATGCTTCTCAAATCCCTGTATCCATGGCAACTGCTCTGACAGAGTTGCAGCCTACCACTGCACATGTGAGCCTGGATACACTGGTGTGAACTGTGAAGTGGATATAGACAACTGCCAGAGTCACCAGTGTGCAAATGGAGCCACCTGCATTAGTGATACTAATGGCTATTCTTGCCTCTGTTTTGGAAATTTTACAGGAAAATTTTGCAGGTGAGCATAAAGTCCATATGAGGCTTGGTCTTTGCAGCTGTACTCTGCATCACTGTTCTTGTCAAATTGGAATGCTGTCTCCTCAAGGTATACATATATACTGTGCTGAACAGGGCTAACACTGGTCACTTCCATCACAACTTGCTCATGTTAAGACAGGATCTCACATACTACGATATTCTACAAGTCAGAAAGGTAGTGTTTAAGTCAGACTTTCAGCAAAATATTTTCTCAGTCATCTGTGTGAAAATGTGTCTCATGAACTGTAGCCCCAGGGTCTGACAGCTTCAAGGACTTGGGAAACAAATACATTTACAATAAGTGCAAAAGCTGAAATGTAGTATTGTTAGGGAAGGCGTGACTTCTATTGCTAAAATAATGCCCTGGGCTATTTCAGGCAGGTAAATACTATAAAATCCCGAAAAGAGTACATTAAAGTATACAACTGACCCTTGAGCAATGCCGGGGTTAGAGGTGCCCACGTGCAGTTGAAAATCCACATTTAACTTTTAACTCCCCCGTAACTCTCAGCCTGGTTGACCAGAAACCTTAACAATAACATAGTCAATTAACACATATTTTGTGTGTCATATTCTTCTGTCTTCTTACCATAAAGCAAGCTAGAGAAAATAAAGTGTTGTTAAGAAAATAATAGGAAAGAGAAAACATATTTACTATTCATTAGACGAAATTGATGGTCAAAGATCTTTATCCTCATTGTCTTCATGTTGATTAGGATAAAGAAGAAGAGAAGGGGTTGGTCTTGCTGTCTCAGTGGTGGCAGAGGTGAAAGAAAATCCACATATAAGTGAATTCACACCATTCAAACATGTGTTGTTCAAGGGTCAACTATAATTTCAAAACAGTGGTATTATAATTCTCAAATATAAAATAAATATGTTTCAATTATTTTGTCATTAATTATTGAGGAAACTAGTAAGATATAAAAACTAATTCAAAGGACAATCTAAAGAATATGTATATGTATATATACAAACAAAAATGAGTGAATGAATTTACTAATAAATACAAAACTGTTTAATATCCCATAGGGCAAGAAAACTAGTATTTGAAGTCATCTTTTCTATAGTGTGATAATCAGTTGTAGGGCTTACTACAGATAAATTAATTTGCATTTTGATAAACAAGATTTTCATATTAATGTTGTTTTTTACAACTTACAGAATTGTAATATAGCTTAGCAAAGAAAATAGAAGGCGCAGACCACTGCAAAAGTGGATAATCCTAGATGGTCCTTTATATAAACCCAGTACTGCATTGAAAGAATATGCAGTGATATTCTTTGCCCATTTCAAAGTATTTCACATTTTTCTACAACTACAAAAGCAGTATTTTAGTTCTTGTAACCCCTCCATTTCAGGCTATGTAAACAGAGATAAGAAAGAGTATTTTTCTTCTAAGTCACATTGCTTCAGTATTTCCATGTAAGAAGTTATTATTGTTTTTACAACTTACACCGCTTTAAATTTACTAAATAATTGAGTCATTATGGGGAGGTGAGAGGGTTATTATTAACAAGTAATACATTCCAGAACTTCAGCAAGAACACCTGGAATGGGTTGGCAGGCTGTAGACATTACACTAATTCAGAGGTGGTACCTTAATTGCATGAATCTCCTGGCAAACATAACATGTAGGCATGCCTATACGAAGTTGTACATCTCTCCCTAACAGTTACTGTTGTTCTGAGCCTGAGAAAGCAAGGCACCGTTATAGGTGCTAAGTGTTCCCAACAGGTAACCTGCCTGTTTAAAAGCAAGAAGAATTCAGGATCAAATTCAGTACATTTCACTGTGAATTTTGATGAGTAAAATAAACGCATAGGCCCTAGTAAGTAGTTCTCCAGAATTCTTTTCTGCCTAATTCATCAAAGTCAAGTTCTGAAAGAGGAAAGCCCTCAAAAGTACCTTCTAATGAGATTCAGGAATTGTTTATTAAAACCAAGATGTATACAAAGCTTCATATTTGCATTGCTAATTGATCTCTTTCAAAGCTGGTTGACATTTTTTACTCTTTTGAAAAGTCTTTATGATATCTTCTTTTTAAAGTAGAATTGATTAGCTCTTGTGGGAAGAGACACACTTAGCATCATATAAGCTAGTCTATCCACATTAGCTGCAGCACACACAACAGGAGCAAAATTCAATTCATTTTACACTTCCTGAATATTTATTAGTTATCTGATGCCATGCACATACACAGTGGGTCAAAGGGCCTAAGCAACACTATTAAATTCTTTTTAAACATCAGTCCCTTCACACTACTAGATTTTGTCTTACAGTGAAGTCCTGCTTAGCTTCTAATACTTGTTCCGCCTTTTATAAGGATTCTTTAACATGTAAAGCTTTGTTGCCATACCAGAGAGCCACACTCTGAATTCACATGCAGTTACCATCGTGTGCTATATACAAAGCTCCTGGACAGCATTTGGCTTGCATTCTTCGAAGCTATGAATTATTACATAGGGAGCAGCAAGTCTTGGCAGGGCAACTGGAGTTCAGCTCTGAAAGCCAATAGAGAAATCACATGAGTGCTTGGGTACTAGAGTGCTGTCCTTGCTTTCCTGGCCTTTGTAGAGATGCAATTTTCTTATGGCCTTTATTGATTTATTAGCAAAGCAGCAGCAAATCTAGTTATAGCAAGTTCTTTTCCAACCCAAAATTTATTGCCACCCCATGGCATAGATCTTATCTCACAAATGAAAACTGTGTAGAAATGGAAGATGTATAGCCATGCTTGTCACAGAACCCTCCAGCAGGAGCTTTTTACTGGAGAAAGCGATTCTTGTATAATGCAGCACAATTAAGCATTTGTAGCTCCTCCAGCCTGAGTACTTAATTAGCTTGGCACTGACTACATAGATGAATTTATCAAAAAAGTTTTCTTGAATGAGATGAACAAGATGAACAGCTGTGGCTGTTGCTTTTATCTCTCTAGACAGAGCAGATTACCCTCAACAGTCTGTGGGAATGAGGAGACAAATCTCACTTGCTACAATGGAGGCAACTGCACAGAGTTCCAGGCTGAATTAAAATGTATGTGCCGGCCAGGTTTTACTGGAGAACGGTGAGTCACATTAGAGCTTTCTGGAAGAGAACTCTGGGCTAAAGAATGATGGGATTACTCAAAGTTCATTTTCTCCTCTAATTTTCTATCTCAGTTCCCATAGGAAAATCTATGCTGAAACAGAGGTTCACACAGAGTGAAACAATAAAAAAGAAGAAAAACTACAGTTTAGGTCAAAGGAGAGAACATTTTATTAGACAAAACTTCAAATAGGGAAAATGTTTTTTTAAAAATGTGTAATGTGCTATTTTTCTTTCTTGTAAGTACTTCTGAATTCCTGTCTTTTTTTTGTTGTTGTTACTAACTCTAATACATGATGCAAATATGGTTGCTGTAGAAGTAAAATAAATTACAACTAAAAGATTGCCTCATAGAATTGCCTACAACCCAAAAGTATATATACCTTATCCATATGATTCTACTTTTCCCAGAGAAATTCTTCAACGCTTCACCTCATACAGGAATTCTTAAAATGGAGTTGGTCAATGGCTTCAGGCAATCTGTGACCTGCTGAAAATACAGGAAAATTAGAATATGTATTTAAGTGGCTAGGGGTAAGTTCCGGGGTAGAAAGAATGCATACTGAATAGCTTTTATCAGCTGCTCAAAGGGATTTATGTCCCCAAAACAGTTATGAACCAGGGCTCTATAAAATACAGATACTATATAAGCAGATAATAAATAATTAACCTGTGCCACGCACCTTACAAATCCCGTCTCTAATTCTTATAGCTCTGTAAGGAAAGTTTTATGATTTTTATTTTGCATATGTGTAAACTGAGGCTGAGAGGTTAAGTGATGTATGAAGGGCCTATCCACAAGTCTGCTGCAGTAAGGTTGAGCTGCCTTCAAAGCCTCTGCTCTTCTATTTGATGTGCCAGCATAACTGTATGAATAAATCTTTGCTCACCACATTTTTTGTTTTAATGAGAAAGATGTTCTTCCATCTCATGTGTCATCCAGGGTAAGACACAGTAGTCTCTGATCAAACTTCCTACATTTAAAAAAATCAAATAAACTAAGCTCAGACATATTTGACAAAGATATTTTGACTGAATCAATATTTCCCATAAGCATAGTTAATAAAATAATGGATATGTGAGTGCTCTCTGGCAAGTGCCCTCTGGATTAACTTGAATTTTCTGGTTTTTAGCTGGCCTCTTTTGCATCACAAAGATACAGATCTTTTGCCACCTTTACAAAACAGCGGGGAGTCTAGGGTGCACCTGCATTTTACCCTTCCAATGTTCTCTTTTATTTGCAGCCTGCCTTCTGTGGTTGGTTCTGTGTGGTACAGGCATTCCAAGTCTATATGTGCATGGAAGGAGATAGCCTTGAGTCACATTCTGCTTTCTGTAGCACCAATTTTGGTTCTGCAACTTATGAACTGAGACCATTCAGTTGTATTCCAATTCCATGTATCTTTCAAAATATTGCAAATATTTTCTTGTCATTAATTCTGAGTAATTCCACTATTGTCAAGTGTGGGTTGCTTCCTGGTTGGACATCACAGTTTCTGCCTAATGGCACAATGCATAGAACTTATCCAAAACCTTGGATTATTTTTCTCTGCCACTCACACATTGTTTCTATTTACAACAAACATTTCAGTGTCCTCTGATATTTATTAGTTTACAAAATTTATATTTGGCATTTAGATTCAAATATATTTGAAACATAGAAAGAAAAGAAAGCTTAGAGTTTTCCTTATTTTCCCAGGAGACTTTTCTACTGGAAAAACTTACGTGACGGTAGATATTTCTGAAACATTGAACCTGTGTTCAGTAGATTCTATGCTTTCAAAGTCCTTCACCATCATTACTTAATTGACTGGATGTTAATAGATTTATTTTTACTTTCCATGCATTAATTAACCTCTAATAAAAACGACAATGATGCTGATAATACATGTGTATCTATTGTTGACTGTTTCAACAGAAAAATAGGTGAGAAAGTAATGGAGTAGTTAGAGGAAAATAGAAAATCATGGGCTATCTTCCATGGCCTAGGGAAATGTGACTTCCATTGCATCCAAGGATATTGAAAAGCTATCCTCAAATAAATTGGCTTCTCTCCTGCCTTGATTAAACCTCCAAATTAGTGTCATCCTGACAGGTTTTGAATGATGGATGATGTGAACACTCTGGCCCACCCAAGACCGAGAATGCTTGGCAGGCTTCTGAGAGTTGTCAAGTTTTGCTCAGATCTAATCAGAGAAGTCTCCCTCCAGTCCAGAAGCATAAGCCAAAAAAGGAAAACAAAATGTCTCAGCTATGCTTGGTATCCAACGGGATAAGGAGGTGTTTTTCTTGGAAGAAATCTTTGTTTTCCTTTATACCTTGGGCTGGCCTTGCCCCACTACCTCATCCCCTTTCATTTGGAGCCTAGTGATTAGTCTCTGGCCCATACGTGCAAGTTTTACATTTTGGAAGGTGAGGGAAAGAATAAGGGAAAATTAAAAATTGTTTACATCAAATTTCAACATTATAAGCTGCACTGTAGAGATCTTAGAGCTAAGATTTTATACAAATTTTCAAAAGTAAAATAGCCGCTTTAGTTACTGTTCTATCCCAAGGTCTTAGCAGAGTGTTGTCACATAGTATGTGTTAAATAAATATCCACTGAGTGACTGAATACATGATTGGTGGCTTAATCCATGAATATACAGTAAAACAAATTCTTGGTGGAAAATTAGGTTAAAAAATGACAACGTCCCAGGAAGAAGAAAACTTCAATTTACCTGATAATTGATGTCACTTGTCTTGGAAAATTTGGCTTTTGAAAGTCATTCTGCCTCAATATTTCAGAAATTATGCTTGGCTGTTGGAACACAGATTTATTAGCAAGTACAATCTTCTAATTATCAATTTTTGCTTTTGTTAGAAAAAAAAGGATTTCCATGGAAAATAATTCAAAACCCTCAGAATAAACCCCCCCCCCATCCTCCTCCTCTTCCTCCTCCTTCATTTTCTTCTTCTGTTTTTTTTGTTGTTGGTGGTGGTGGTGTTTTGTTTCTCTTTGGTGGGCTTTTCCCTTAGCCTGAGAGCTCTGATGCTTGAGGATCCTGATAGCCTGAATGTAGGCTTGCCCTGCAGACTCCAGATGGCAAAATACAGCCTCTCTCCTTGTGCCCCTAATAAAGTGAACATTTATATAAGGTGGCAACCCCACTAATGCTCTTGAGCGTGACACTGGTGTATGCATGGCCCACTTTTCTCTTAGTTTCTAAATATTTGCATCTATTTTCTCATTCTAATTAATTCCATGTGTATATGTACACATATGTGCACAAATTATTTCCATTAAACCCCAAATGTGTTAAAGAAATTTTAAGAAACATCTCCGACATTATCAACTATATATAAAGTACGTGTGGATGGGTAGATAAGGCAAACTTTATCTGTTCCAGATAGATAAGGCAAACTTTTCTTCCCATTTCACAACCAATGTATTCAACAGGGACCTGGGTTTCTGTTGTTCTGTTTATTTTGAAGGTGTGAAAAGGACATTGATGAGTGTGCCTCTGATCCGTGTGTCAATGGAGGACTGTGCCAGGACTTACTCAACAAATTCCAGTGCCTCTGTGATGTTGCCTTTGCTGGCGAGCGCTGCGAGGTGGACGTAAGCGACCTCTCCTTTTATGTCTCTCTCTTATTCTGGCAGAATCTTTTTCAGCTTCTTTCTTACCTCATTTTGCGCATGAATGACGAGCCAGTTGTTGAGTGGGGTGAACAGGAAGATTATTAACATATATTTGAACATTCCCAATTGAAAAAAAAGCCATTGAATTTCAAAAAATGCCTTGATTAGTTTTAGATCTCTGGGGGAAAAAATGGAAATAAAAACTATCTCAATAATTAAAATAAATTCAAGGCTTATTTTAAACATTATCGGAAGTACTTTGTCTGTATCAGAACACTTGGACACAGGGTGGGGAACATCACACACCGGAGCCTGTCGTGGGGTGGGGGGAGGGGGAAGGGATAGCATTAGGAGATATACCTAATGTAAATGACGAGTTAATGGGTGTAGCCCACAAATATGGCACATGTATACATATGTAACAAACCTGCACGTTGTGCACCTGTACCCTAGAACTTGAAGTATAATAAAGAAGTATTTTCCTATTCTAGCTTTGAATATGAAAAAAGTGTTCTTAATATAACTAGAAATATCTCCTTATTGTTTGTATTTAGTACAGATATATTATCATTCTTAACACTTCTATACATGAATGACCACTGCAATTTCTTCCCATTCCATTTCTAGGTACATTTATTTTCACATTAATAAGTTGCTTGAAGTATAATAAAGAAGTATTTTCCTATTCTATTTTGAATATGAAAAAAGTGTTCTTAATATAACTAGAAATATCTCCTTATTGTTTGTATTTAGTACAGATATATTATGTTCTTAACACTTCTATACATGAATATTACACCAATTTCTTCCCATTCCATTTCTGGAGTACATTCTTCCCATTCCATTTCTGGGTACATTTATTTTCACATTGTAAGTTGCCCTCAATCACTATGATTCTATTTTCACTCCTGTTCTTTCAGTCTTATCTATTATTTATGACACAAAAATTGAGAATTACAGGCCAGGCGCGGTGGCTCACTCCTATAATCCCAGCACTATGGAAAGCCAAGGTGGGCAGAACACCTGAGGCCATGAGTTTGAGATCAGCCTGGCCAACATGGCGAAACCCCGTCTCTACTAAAAATACAAAAATTAACTGGGAGTGGTGGCACGTGCCTGTAATCCCAGCTATTCAGGAAGGTGAAGAGGGAGAATTGCTTGAACCTGGGAGGCAGATGTTGCAATGAGTCAAGATTGCACCCCTGCACTCCAGCCTGGGCGACAGAGTGAGATTCCGTCTAGAAAAAAAAAAAAAAAAAAAAAAAAAGAGAGAGAATTACTGATTATTACTGATTATATCCATCTATGTTTTTACATGAAGTTATTCAAGTGAATTGTTACCAGTTCTCAGGTATTTAGAGAACTGGTAGAGAGAACTCAGGAATTTACATCAAGTCCCTAAAATTGTAGAAAAACAATTATCTAGTATCAGTACTCAAATTATACCACACTGGTATAATTTTGGATTCCATAACTGTCCCTCTAACAAGTTACAAATAATCCTTTCTCTATTTCTTTTCCTGCAATACTTTCCCTTTTCCTAACAAATAGAACGATTTTTTTGTTAATTGTTTCTAAATTTATGAGCTCCTTGACTTTTCTATCACATGGACTAATTTCAGTTGCTTTTCAATGAATATTTAAGAAAAATAAGAACTGTAGTTTATACATAAATTTAAAAGTATATATTGAAAAACTTGAATTTTTCTTAGAGGCATGATTTTCTAAGATTTGCAAGCAAATTTATTTTCTTAAGTATCTTTCTGAAAAAAATATGAAAGCATAGTATACAACATAACCAAAATATATTTGACGTTATGATTTTTAAAAATAAATGCATACCTGAAATGATGGATCTATAAAGTAAATTAATAAGATATGCAAAAATTAATATATTCTTTATTGTAAAGATTTCAGAGATTATAAAATACTAATATTTAAAAACTTTGTTAATGTTTTCATTGTTTCCACCAGTATGTTATCATTTATGCTAAATATCTTTGTGTAGATACACCCTTCCAAAGAAGATGTTATTTGTGTTCATTTAAAGGAAAAATAGTTTGATCCTATGAATTAATTCAGAAAGCAACTAAAATAACAATGGCCTGCCAAATGTCATTTTGTAAATATGTCTATGACTTTAGGAGCTGTCCTGGTTTGAAAACGTGAGGACAATTTATCCTTTGGATGACATCTATTTAGTCCCAGTTAAGAAAGTTGTTTTTCTGTGGGAATGACCAAGGTAAATTTAAATATACCATTCAAACAAACAAGAACAAAATAATATCCTTGTTATAGAGTACATGTAGCATATAGTATGAAGTAATATACTACAAAAGCAAAGAAAATGTATTCTGTCTTGTGATAGTAATAGACAATTTTTATATAGCAAATTCATATCTTCTGGAGTAGTGGCAATCATTTCAAACTGGGAGCTACTAATTGTGAAGATTTTCCTTTTTATTCATCCATTTTCTTCACATCCAAGACTGCATGTGTGATGCCGCTGCTTCAGATGATTTGTTCCAAAGTTAAATTTTGTGACAAAAGACATGGGGAAAACCTTCCCATCAATATTTGCATTCACAAGTATTTGCAATAAGCATAAAATAGATTATAGTCAAAGACCGTATGTATAGTTTTCACATTTACTCCCTTCTAGACATATCTGTACTTACGCACTTACAGGCTGTTCCAAATGTAATATGTTCTCTACCAAATATGGTTAAGAAATATTCACTCACAATTTCTTTCTCTGCACAATTCTGAGGCCTCTGGTGTCGCTGTAATTGTCAGTTGCTTTTCTGTTTTCCAAATGTCTTGTTGTCGTGAGGTATCTGACTTTAAAAAATATTTTCCCTTTTCTTTTTGTTCTTCTGTATTTTCAACTGCATGTGTGTGACTATGGCTTTTACATATTTGCACAGAAAAATAAAATCTTTGTTTCTGTATCTTCTCTTTCTCATCTTCTAATGGTATTTGTATTTGTTTGCCTTGACTATGTCTTGTATGATAAAATGTCCACCAGCCATGCATACACACACACAGACACACACACACACACAACAGAAGTGCTAGTGCTGATCTTCCTGAACTGAGATCTCTTTCTGCGAAAGTGTCACTGCGTGTAAACACTGTGGCATCCAAGTAAAGTCGCATGTATGTTTCCTCTCTGGCAAGTAATCCTCTAGTTGGCCTTCTAAAGTTGATTACAACCTTAATTGTTCTTATTATTTGTTTACATTGTCCCTGCCAAAACTAGCCAGTGTTCAACCTGGTTCTAAGAGGGACTGTTTTACCCAAATGACAGAAATTTACACTAACTCCTCTGGACCAAGCTTCTGAAACATAGCCTATATTTACTTGAATAAAAACGAATTCCATTTGCTCCATTTTTCAGATTTAACATTAAACTAAACAGGGCTATGTCTCTATGTTTGGCCATGCCTTCCTCTTTGTGTGCGTACATGGCAAATGGGTTTTATTACCCTCCCTTTTGCAAAATAGGGAAGTAGAGAGAATAGGCAAATTTGGAAAAATCAGTGTTTGAGGAGCATGGAGAGACAATTAAGTTCGATTAACACCATTGAGGACTTAGTCTGTGCCAGGAACTGTAATAAGCCATTTTAAATACATTATCTTTTCAATTATCTTTTTTCAATACAAGGTCAACCGAAATCTTTTCTCTTCCAAATTCTTCACTAAATTTTCTTAAAAGAGCTTTTGGCCATTCCTAGGTTTTAAAATAGAAACTGTTATGCTTTAATTTTGCAATATTAAAATGAAACCTTTTCTGCAAATGGTGCTGCATAAAATTTTGAGTTTAGTGAGTTAGGTAGGAAATCAGTGAAGAAATCTGTTTCACAACTGCCAATATTACTACTAATATAAACCAGCTTACTTCTCTGCTTTTTTACTTATTCAACAAATGTTTAATGTATATCTACTATTTGCCGTACTGTATACTAGGTCCTGGGAGTAGAACTATGATTTAGACACAATGCTTGCTCAAAATAAGCTGAAGTTATGGTAAAGAATGTGGGTTAGGCTGGGTGTGGTGGCTTACGCCTGTAATCTCTGCACTTTGGGAGGCTGAGGCGGGAGGATCACCTGAAGTCAGGAGTTCGAAACCAGCCTGACCAACATGGTGAAACCTTGTCTATACTAAAAATACAAAAATTAGCTGGGCGTGGTGGTGGGCACCTGTAATCCCAGCCACTCAGGAGGCTGAGGAAGGAGAATCACTTTAACCCAGGAGGTGGAGGTTGCAGTGAGCCGAGATCACACCATTACACTCTAGCCTGGGCGACAGAGTGAGGCTTTGTCTCAAAAAAAAAAAAAAAAAAAAAAAAATTGTGGCTAAACAAATAGTCTTAGGATGTAACTGAGTGCCAGCTGTAAGGGAGCATATGGGAGGGGCATGTTGTCCAGTCTTACAGGTGCATATAGAAGGTTAAGGAAAGTTTCCTGAAGCCTAAGCTAAGATTTGAGGGAGTTAGACTATGGAAGAAGCAATGGCACAGTACTTGTGTTTCAGGCAGAAGGGGCTGGAGAAGTTGTGCACTGTGGCAGGGGGTCTCACAGGGTGGCAGTGCTGAAAGATTGGGTGGTAGAAGGAAGCAGGAGTAAGCCCTTATACACTTTGGCAGAGACCTTGGTATTTTCCATAAGAGAAATGGAGAATCCTTGAAGGGTTTCAAATAAGAAAAATGTCATGATTATACTTGCACTTTAGAAAGATCACTTGGGCTTCTACATAGAGAATGGCTTTAAAGAAAGGCACGACTGGACCCAGAAAGAAACAGCTAGAAGCCTGCTGCAGTGACAAAGAAAAAACGAGATTTTGCACTACCACATACAGTTGTAGAGAAGATAGATTTTAAAAGTTTGAAGCATGATTGTTTGGGAGAAGCTGTGGGTCTAAGGGGGTGATAACTTAAATTTGGTGGATAATATTTTTAATACCTTTGTTGATTGAA